TACAGGGTATTTTGAGGAGGGGGGATTTTAATAATGGGATATATGGGATATATAGATCAGATGACTGGCGGGAAATGGAGTAGGTTGTTTCTTTTTGCAGCAGCAATTAACGGGATACGGGATTTTTCGGCCAAAACACAGAATATGTAGGATATTTATACCTACCCCCCCACCTCCCCCTTGATGAGGCGTCAGACCTGCAAAGGCTGGTGCTTTTGTTTTCCTTCTCAGTTAACTTCCAACTCTGAATTTATGCTTTCAAAAGTTGGCTTAATGGTTGATATATTACGCTAGGCTCTTCATAATTTGACTCGCCGAGAAATAACCTTTATTAAAATTTTATGACAATCCCCTGACTTGTCTCATTTTATTCAGTCCAACAGGTGGACGAAAACTACGCCACTACCAGCCAAAATTTATTTTCAAAATACTACGTTCAGTTTACTCTGGCGTTATACCTGAACAACACAATCAATGATCAATTTATCTATTCTAATCTACAATAATTCTGCCTCGATTTTCCACTGAGTTGATTCTTGATGGATAATTTATTTTCAAAATTTAATGAGTACACTTGCCCCGCGCTACATTCACCTCCATCATGATTTAATGATGATACCGTCTTAACCGCTTGCATCGTCCGTATCAAGGGAAGGTTTTGTGAATGCTTTGCTGTTCGAAAGTGTCAACACCATTCTCCCATTGTTTCGAATTCCTCGGGGTTCAGAAATCTTATGTTGAAAAGAGGGTGTGGATTGAGCTCAACTGAAATTAAAATAGCTGAACTGCTCAAAATTTTGACCATCGACTGAACTGAGAAACAACGCCGTTTTTGACTGACAGCTGAGATCTCAGATGTGAAAAAAATTACCCATGCCTGAGAAATGGGCGCCTGAAATTTTAACACGTAGCTAAGAAATCGCAGCGACTGAATAATACTGATAACTGGGATTCAAGCAAGTCCATGCAGGCAGACCAAAACCGTCTTAGTCATAGCTTCAGGTAGTTTACGATTTTTAAGTGAATAAGATTACAGGGATGGGCGGAGAACTGTAGTGGATTTTAAATCAACAGGGATCGAAAAACAACGGCTCAATGAAAAATTGACAAAGACTGCGATGGGCTGTGAAAGCGCTCTTGTGTCAGAATTGTATTTTAATGATGATATGGGAGTGTACCTTATTTCTTTTTTGTTGGCACCGTTCGTCTCGTTTTAAACAAATTCACAACAAACTTCCTCTTTATACAATTCAGCCACTCAAGATTCGAATTTTAACAGCTACTGTAGAATTTGCCAGGAAAGCAGAGCTTTGTGGAAACTAGGGGCCGGCGCGAAAACAAAACTCGTGCAAGGACCGGGGGACTAGGGGAAAGACCCTCTTACGCGAAGAGTAGGGAGAACTGAGTTTGAGATAACAGTTGGCCGGCAACAAACCTTCAAGCTGAACAGCATTTATTTTAATTTGCAGTTTTGTTTACGCTTACCTTGGCCCGTTGCCTGTACATTAAGGAGAGCACAAAAGTTGGCAAACTCATTAACATTAACAAAACTCGAGGTCATGTCTCTCTTGAGGTAAACAAAGAAACGTTTTCTTTGTCATGAATTTTCTGTCAATGTTTGTGTGCTGGTTGTTACTGACCCTGTTGATTTTATCAATCGCAAGAATTTGCCAGAACATATTTCATTTTATTTCTAATTTGCTAGAATTATAAAAGGGATGTATTTAGCATACAAATTAAATTCTGTTGGCAAGCTACCCTAAAAAAGTACGGAGTTTTTAATTTTGTCGCGTCGCTTATTATTAAAGCACACGAATGCCATTTATTTATTAATTTATTTATAATGTCGCTCTTTTGTGACATATTAAGAAAATATCTCTCGATCCAATTTCCATTTGGACATTTAACGCCTGGAGGTTCTGTTGCTGCTGTCTGTTTCACGGAAGCCCGCTTTAAAGGTATAAGCTCTCTTAAACGAAAATGGTAAGTTGCTCTGCCGATGTTCCAGATTACATTTAACATTTTAGCTCTATTACTCTGAGGTTCAAGCCAGAGAAAAGATATTTGCGTGTCATTGTAGTTTTCGTTTCTGCTTGTGTTTTGTTGAGATATGGCTCGCGGCTAGGGAATTAATGACTCTGTTTTCAAAATTGAAACGTCGCATATGTGGTTTTAATTGCATCTGTTTGTTTCCTGCACTAGGAAACAAGGTTGCCATCATGGCTACTTTTATACTTGTAGTTCCTTTTACCAAAACAACGTCTGCAAGTAATAAATAAACGCAATATTTGCGCGATGCAAACTGAGAAGATATATAACGTTCCAACAAATCTTCCGAACTTAGATAATGTTACAAGTGATAACACTGTCTGTGTGACTATTTCCTAGTTAAATCGAGTGTCCAGAACGTTCGAACTTTAAATATCCATCAAACATCCTTCACTTTGTTTATACCAAAGTACTATTTCAAGTATGTCGTTGGCAGAAAACTGCTTTAACACTGAATACTATTAGGGTAAGCGCTGTTGGCTCTGACATTGCCAAATCGAGCGAACTTCTCAATTTCAACGTGTGCGCTCTCGCATATTTTTTTACATCAAATTAAAGGTGCTTCGTGCTTGAAAAATATAAATATTAAATATTTTAAACAATTGCTTAAGGATTATATATAACAAATTAAGTTCTTATTCCGGCTGGACATTGGCAAGTGTTTTTCTTTAAAATATGCAATGTTTATCATTTGTAATCATTAAAGTAGTCTGTAGTCGGAATTATATCGAAAAGCTATTTTTCACTTTTTCTGTTCGCGAGTAAGGGATAAAAACTCGCTAGAAGAAAGTAACAACAGGATCAAAATAAACAAGTTTGTTGGCGAGAATGTGTATGTCATACTTTTAACATACACAACTGCTTCATAGATAGTCCGTCACGGATCGAGTTAAAAATATTTTTCGTTCAAGTTCAGTCGACGCTCTTTTTGGAGTCAAATTTGTGCACCGATTTAAGTTTCAGATTACAATGTCAGTCTGTACTGCAGCTGCAATTTAGCCTGCAGTTTGTAAAGGCAATATCAAATGTTTTAACTTCTCATCAGTAAACAAAGACAAAACAGACAGATTATCTTCTTTTAAGTGGGGCCCCATGGTGCCCCATCATGACGTCATCAATTAAGGGGCTTCGATCCGAGATATTGAACAACCCCTAATTAAAGTTACTCTGCATGCGCACAGCTTCCTAGCTGCGAGAGAAACCATAACATTTTAACTGTAAAAAACGCTCTTTTCAAATCAACAGGCCGACAAGTTCACAGAAGAAGAAGTACAAGGTTAGTGGTTTATTTTAAATTCGACAACCATTTTTAACTTGGAAAATATTTATTATTTTCCAAGTCGTAGTGGTGGAACGATTTCACTCCATCCGGTTCCTTAAATCCTTCACTCCTTCACTTCCCGTTAGACATTTGGAAACCCGGGGGAGGGGAACTCCCATATGAAAAGGCAAGAGATGCTCGTCGGAAAATTTGAATTTAACTCCTAAAGGAGACTAATATGGACGTTGCTTGAGCTTCATTAGACCCCTAAAAGATACCACTTAAAACGGAATAGGTTCGATTTCTAGCCACTGTTCAAGAACAGATCCCGCGCGCACTTGTAGACCAGACTCGCGTACTCGAGAGATTAGTGGAAATCAAGCCTGAAAATGGAAATTAAATGAGAGCGCTTCTTTTATTGGTTTCCTCGAGTGCACCGTAAAGGATACTTTGACAGCTAGGAAAGGTGACGTTTCGTCATCACCCTAAGTGAGACCAGAATCCTTGATTTGTGCCCGAGACGACGAGCATCCCCGACCTTTTCGTATGGGAATCCGCGAGAGGTAGAAGGTATAATGATTTTTTAATTGTAAAGGAAAATACTTATGGTTCTTGCTTAGCGATTCGATTCAGGGAAAGTCTTTTCCTTTACAAACTTACGTGATATTGTGAGTTCGAAAGCAATCGATATAAACGAATGATTTAAGGCTACAGACGATTTTTTTTAACACAAGAAACGGAAAGCCAAACGCTTCCTTCCGATAAATGGTCCTTGACAGAAAAAGAAAAAAACAATGAAGCTAAGTAAACTGAGGAAAAATAATCAGCAGTCACCACTGGGATTCGAACTCCTAATGTCTCGCATGGCGAGCCAGCCGGCCTATCACATTGAGGGGTATCGAATGGTCTTTGCGAGCATTTGCGAGCATGCGAGCAGTGCGTTTATTTCTGCGAGCACGAGCATTGATCAAATTTGTCTTGCGAGCAGCGAGCACTTTCGAAAAAACAGATGGCGAGAAACGAGCACTTCGTAAATTTTCTGCTGGACGGATTTTCTCTTTTATTGAAAGGGGACATTTTGCACCAAGTAATCTGGCTGACACCGTTCAACCAATCCTAGCGTCGTAATGTGCCTTGTTGGATGCCACATTACGTCAGTTAGCTTCATGTGCGCTCCAGTGCGGTACACTTTGTGGACGCTCAAGGAGATCTAAAGCTTTCTAATCTGACGTTAAGAACACTTCTCAAGAAGAAGCTAAATTTTACGACTTTGAAGTTTGCAACATGGAAGGCTTTTTTGGTCATATTGTTCTTAGGAAATGTAGACAACGTGGCATTTAGTCTAACAAGCACTTCGAGTTTCGGTTTCGATGATCGGCAAACTGGTTTCCAGCTGAGTTACTGAAAAAGATTCAACGCAACGGAAGCTTTATTTGGAGGCTTCAAGGATCTAACCGATTCGGAGCTCTGACAAGCTCTGAACTCGAATGGTAATAGTAATACTCCACATGTTTTCATGTCTCTAGGTTACTTTCTACCTTTGGGGGTGCCTTTCTCGAAGAATTGTTACGCGCGTCAGTTTGAATAATACGTCACCAAAACGAGGAAGCATGTTTACAGAAACATTCATAATGTGTGCATGCTTCAATGTTTCTCCAATGTTTCTCAGTTTTGCCATACGGGTATTGAGCACATTTCAACGAGAATCCGAGCATGCTGCGAGCAGTGGCAAAAATTTGGCGAGCACGAGCAAGCGAGCACTCATGTGCACGCTTCTCCAATGTTTCCCAGTTTTGCCATACGGGAATTGAGCACATTTTAACGAAAATCCGAGCATGCGAGCAATGGCAAAAATTTTGCGAGCACGCGAGCAAGCGAGCACTCATCTAATTTTTTTGCGAGCAATTCGAGCAAAGGTCAAATTTTGCGAGCACTTAAAAATTGAATTAAACGGGACCATTCGATCCCCCTACATTGCGCTACTTGTACATCAGTTACTGGAGGGCGAAAGTATAATTATTTTTTTACGTACCACAGGCTCAAGTGTTTTGTTCAGTCTATACCTCACTTTTAACCAAACAAAATGATCTCGCAGTTTTTGACTGCAGCACAAGGAAGACATGTACATCAGAAACATGTAATATGTAAAACGTGCAGCCAGGCCTGAGTAACAAACAGTTTCTTAACGTTGAACTTTTTCATTTTGCAAATATCACAACACACCCCTCAATGGAAAAAGGCTGTATGGGCTTCTTCTAAAGCTAGACTGTCCTCACATCACAAGTAGTTCCTTAATGAGCAATGCCTCATAACACCCTTTCATAATTTATTTTCCAAGTTCAGTGGCTCACAGCAACTTTGATTCTCACAGTGTTTAGCCTTTCAAGAATGCTACATGGGTATTCCAAAATACAAACGTTATCAAAAGTGTAATCTTATTACGCCTACAAATATTTAACCATATTTTTGCTTGTGGACTTCGTCTTGCACGTGGATTTGTGTCCAAGCCAAAAAGGCGCGAATACAGATTTTCAGTAAAGTGGCGATAGTCTTAATTTATGCATCAACTTTAATTTATCTATCTCTCTTTTTTGTCGCTCTACTTAGAATACAGGGAGGCCTTTCAGCTGTTTGACAAAGACGGCGGAGGCACCATCAGTACTAAGGAGTTAAAGCAAGTATTTGAGGCCCTCGGTCAGCATCCCTCTGAAGAGGATGTACAAAGCATGATATCTGAGGTGGACCAGGACGGTATGTATAGTTCAGTTCTTAGATGGAAAAAATGGGTGGGTACAATTTGTCAGAATAAACCGGTTAGGATGACCGTTGAATAATGGTAAGGGTTTTTCCAATGATCAGCAAGCTTTCTGAGTTTCCAGTCTCTCATCAGCCACGAAAACAATTACGGGAAATTGAATTGTAAATGGTAAGTGCTATTTCGTACGGTTAGTTTGCTGATTTTAGAAAAGCCCCCCCCCCCCATTATTCAACGGCCCTCCCTACTGACTATTCTGTCAAATGGTAAGCTCCGATGTAGCCATTGTATGACACCTACCGTAAAATCAATGACTTCCAATAAACATTTTACAAGAAAACAATCTACATATACCTAGCTTACAGTGCTACGGCCATCGTTGCTTTTATAAAGCTTTTTTGTTCTGCATTTTTCGCCAGACTTTTTTCTTTTAGATTCGCTTCCAAAGTTAGTAAGCAGTGAACGATTGAATCTATATTAACCAGGTTTGGGACTTAAAACAAACGTTGGTAAATTAAACCTTTCTTGGGTTGGGGAAGGGGTGGGGCAGTGGTGCTGTTTTATGCCAGTTGGGTCATAAGGATCATAACTTTTCGACTATTGAAGGAGTTTTTAAACGACTAGATGACGAGCGCAATACTGGTTAAAGTCTGCATACGAGCCAAGTAGCCTATCAGGCCTTATTCCGTTTTCTGTGGCATGGAGCGACCAGCCANCCCCCTTGGATGGGATACTAGTCTATCGCAATGTCAGCCCCAGCATTAAATTCGCTGATACCCGTTTATATACCTGGGTGAAGAGAGGCACTGCGAAAGTGAAGTGTCATAAGAGATCTCTACGCTTAGATTGCGTTCCTTTGGGGTGATCTGGATCAGGATCAGTGATCCAAGATCACTCGGATCATGATGCATCAAAGGAACCGATGAATCCGCTCTGGTCAAGGATTCATCGGTTCCTTTGATGCACCATGATCTGAGTGATCTTGGGTCACTGATCCTGATCCAGATCACCCCAAAGGAACGCACCCTTAGTCTGTATGTTTGTGGACGGTATCAAATGATTAACATGCCCTTTTCTTTTGAGCTCACAGGGAGTGGCGAAATAGACTTCGACGAGTTTTTAACGTTGATGGCAGCAAAACAAGCCAACATGACAATGGAGGACGAGTTAAGAGGTGCTTTTAACGTTTTCGACCAAGATGGAAGTGGCTACATATCAGCACAGGAACTCAAACAGGTTAGCGATCAAAAAAAAAAAAATCTGTTTTATCGTACATATAGTTACATTTTACGATCCTTTGTCGTCAGTGAGGTGAGTTAGAGTTCCAGTCTAGTAGCGCTTGATCTGGGAATTCATTTCCTTGCACTTAGTAACAATTCGCACTACCATCAATTTCAGGTTTTGGAAAATCTGGGCGAATCGCTTACTGATGAGGAAGTTGATGAGATGATGAAGGAGGCCGATCTGGACTCTGACGGTCAAGTCAGTTTTGAAGGTATGTTAAAGCGGGACAGCGGCAAATTCACTTGTTCCCCGCGGGGTTAACATCAACTGCAGATTTTGGTCAGAATGCCCCCTTCCGTCCCTTTAATTTCGCTGTCCAAAGAGTTACCGCTTTCCAATAGGGCGCCACCGGTTCGCGTTACTGACATGTAAGATATCAACATTATTTAAAAAACGTTGAGAAAACTTTTTATCAACTAAATAACGCTTTACCCCGAGCAGAGTTCCTTTGAAACCTGTGCGTGCATCTTTGTCCTATTTTCGGTTTTGATTTCTGGCCACAATATTAAGAAGAGAGAACCAGAAATGTCGGTGCAAGGTGTCGAAGAGCTCCATATTTGAAAGCTTCCTGGAAAATGTTCCGTACTAACTTCCTAAATTGAATTCGCCTTAACTCCCCCTCCCTTCCCCGCCACACGCACACAGACACCCTCTTTAAACGTCCAGTTGACGTTTAAGCCTGAATAAATGAATATGCTGACGGCCCATAATAAACGAGATGAATACCACGTGACAGTAGGATATCTTAGCGCTCTTAGCCAAGTTATAGTGCGCACTCTTTACTGGACTAAGGAGGACTGGATTAAGCTTGATCGCTGTATTGATTAATTAAAAGGTCACACGGTTACGTTATGTTACTGATTATTGTTGACTTTAATTGCAGAGTTCGTGAAGATGATGGCCAACAAATGAGAGGACCACTTTTCCCGTTTTATCAGATTTGTACTCACTTCTTTTTTTGCTAAACTAAGACTCGGCTAAAAATTAAATTTAACCTTAAATCAGGCAGTTGTCTTTTCTTATATTATAAACGACCTACCCCTGCCCTCCCCACCCCGACTTCGCTATGTCAACCACGGTGCGACTCGAGTAGTCGAGAGGACCCTGGAAACGCACTTGAGTTTCCACATGGGACCTTATGTCTATCAGCTGTTTGTATTTATTTCTGTTTTAATAATCATCTCCTACTCTCTGCTGCAGGTTCACGTCAGCCTTTGGCTGCCTAAGATAGTTATAGTTGCAAATGTTATAACTCTATGTAGCTGCGTTACCAAATATAGGATTGATTGATTATTGATTGCATTGCTAAGTCTACTTATAGCAAAGAATGTAGGACAATATTTGCATTTCATCATTAAGGACGTTCGCGCTGATTGTTTCTGCGCATCCATACTGCCCGCGTAAATTCACACGCCACGTCATGCATCGACGCGCGCGCTAAGTAATAAAATGAACAATGATAGGGCAGATGGCCATGGCCTGCAGAACAGGCGTAATTTTTTTGCGTATTTTAGGCGAACAGAGGCGAAAGCGAGGGGAGCGCGAAACGCGAATCGCGCGCGAGGAAAAGAGCGCAAAAAATAGCGCGTTATTTTTTTCACGCTCTTTTCCTCGCGCGCGATTCGCGCGTCGCGCTGCCCTCGCTTTCGCCTGTGTTCGCATGTTCGCCTTAAATACGCAAAAAAATTACGCCTGTTCTGCGGGCTAAGATGGCCATTGCTATAGATCGTTTTCACGTGACGTCCTCAAATTCCAAAATCCAGAACTGAAGAGCCACGAAAATTTTTATCCTCATAAGGCATGAGGGGATCTAAACTTACATCTGTTTACAACTTTTCAGCGCAATAGCCTGCAGCTGGAAACCAGCGCCGTCATGGTTTGAAGTTCATAGTTATGGCGGTGCGTGATATACCGCTCCGATCGCGTTTGTGGAAAATATACACTTATCTAGTGATTTTTAGCCTTTTTAGGAGTTAAAGGGTTAGGAAAAGTGCTTGTGTAAATGCTTGTTGGTTGAGTTCAGATAATCAGTCGCCTAGATAGCCAAAGTAAGTTCCAGATGTTTGCACTATTTTCCGGCCGCCATATCTTGTTGGTGGAGCACAGAGCTCCACCAACATGGGCTCTGTAAATTTGCGCAAAACATTTCGACGAATATCTGAAGTTTGGTAAAGCGCAGAGACCCAAAACTTAAAGAAGTGTCTTTACCTGTCTCCTATAATATTAAAATTTCTTGACTTTATCCACTAAATAGTTTTCGATTTATTTTTTCGTTGCGTGACAGTGAAAACCATCTATAGCTTTGCGCAATCTTCGACGTTCGGTGACCCCTATTTTTCGTTTGATGGATCATTTTCTCTACCGATTTTCTACGTTCAGCGAAAAAATGAAGAAAATCTATCGATTAGAAGTTTGAATTCCGTTGTTTTTAGCTCTCCGTTTATCTGTGCGGCGATTGCAAATGGCTCTTGAAGGGTTAAGTTCTGTGGAAACGTTGGCAACATTTGGAATTATTCACGCAACAGACCCACTCCTACAAAATATGACTAAGATCGTTTGTCTCCGTCGACTCACCTTCGATATTTTTAATTATAAACCCCTGTAGACCATGTTGAATTACTTGCGCCAATTTTTCAAAATCAGGGTAGCTTTCCACACACTTTATCTCTGAAATGAAGTCGGAGCCCCCAATTTTTTTTTTTCATTTCTGTCACAACTAACTCATTATTTGAATGCAGTAAAAATCAAAAAAAAAATCTATCGACTGGAAAATTTTAGCGCGAACATCCTTAGTTGCATTCCGCTGAATATAATAGTATCCTGTTGAAATACGGTATTGGTGTGGACTGCTTCGCAAACGTTTACACGGAAGTCTCAAATCTGGCTTTGCCTTGGTCGTGCAGGGAGGAGAAACTTCAATAGCCCGGTACGAAAGGGGTCTGGAACGAGAGCCTGGTAACAATCGCTGTGCACCGCCATATTGGAAAGAGACGAACGGTCGACAATCCGAAGGTACAGAGAATCTGCTGAATTTCTATGTTATGAATGACAACTGTACATAATGGTAATCACATATTTATGACCCCTTGCTATTAGCGTTACCTTTCTTTTCTCTGTGTAATCATTTTCGTTTGCCGGAATTGATAGAAAGAATGTGCCAGAGGGAGAATGGCGGATGTGTCGAAAACGAAGACCCAAAAACGAAGACCGAAGACCTAAGACCCTCTGGTCTAAAACGAAGACCCACCGGTCTAAAACGAAGACCCACTGGTCTAAAACGAAGACCCACTGGTCTAAAACGAAGACCC